CTTTTCCTTTGGATCGAGCTTCGAGCGGTGAGGACCAAGAACATGTGCGAAGCAAACACATCCAAGCACCCTAAGAGGAATGTGGAACATCTCTCCCTCAAGAAAAAGGAGGCTGAATGGGGTGTTGAATCCAAGTATATGAGAGGGCACCCTATTAATCAGGAAGACTGTTGTGAGAACTGCATCACCCCAAAACCGAACTGGAACAGTAGATGTGATCATGATTCTTCTTGCAATCTCAACAATGTGTCTGTTCTTCCTCTCTGCAACACCATTCTGCTGTGGACTGTAAGAACAACTGTTCTGATGGATAATTCCATACTCTAACAAATATGAAGCAAGGTTCCTTTCAAAATACTCCCTGGCATTGTCTGTTCTAAACACCTTCACTCGTACCCCAAATTGTGTTAGTACCATCTGATGAAATTGTTGAACCAAGGATGGTACCTCATCATGAGATCTCATTAAGTAAATTCAAGAATATCAAGAAAAATCATCCACAAATAAAATGAAATATCGATAGCCACCCATAGAAGGAACATGGTATGGTCCCCACACATCAGAATGAATAACATCAAAAGCAGATGAACACCTTTTATTACTAGCTTTAAAGGAATGTCTACAATGCTTTCCAAGCTGACAACCTTCACATTCTAAACTAGACAGATTAACAGACTCAAATAGCTTTGGAAATAAGAAGCGCAAAAGAAGAAAAAGACAAATGACCCAAACGATTATGCCAAAGCATAATCTGACTCACAGACTTTGACTCAATATCCCTTGCTAACATGATGACCCTAATGATGAGGAAGCGCATCCAGGAGGTAGTTTTCATTCACTTCACGACCACTCCCAATCGTCCTCTTTGAATCCAGGTCCTGCAAAACACAATGACCAGGAGAAAAAATCACTATGCAATTCAAGTTCTTAGTCAAACTACTAATAGATAACAAGTTAGTACTCAATCTGGGAACATGAAGGACAAAGGGTAGGGAAATGGAATCAGTAATCTTGACMGACTCCTTCCCAGCAATGGGAACATGAGATCCATCGACTGTGGAGACTCTGTCTCTGCCAGAATAGAGTTGGTAAGAAGAAAAAATAGTGGAACTATGGTCATGTTCTCTAAGGCTCCAGAATCTATAATCCAAGGAGGTCCCTCCTTACTTGTAGTAGAAACATAGTTTGCAGTGACATGTGAACTACCTGTATGAGCAAAGGAAGTAGAATGTGCTTCATCAGAACCACCTATACCTAGCTGTCCACCTATTACTAGATTAGGACTATACCTCGCTGATTTAGGAACTGCCCATATCTCTCAAGTTCGGCCCTCACTGTAGCAACTGTAACAGACTCTAAAGTAGTTGTAGTAGGGGGCTAGGTATGTCACCAGTGACTGCCATGTTAGCATTTCCCTAATTGTTTTTAAGTCTATTCGGCACAAGATGAGGATGAAGCTTCCAGTAGGTATCTCTTGTGTGTTTAGGCTTCTTACAGTAATCACAAAATAGATCCTTCTTATCTTCCTTCCTGATTTCACTGCTACCCCAGTCTCCACTCTGTTTAGGTTTCACAGTATTGACCATGGTTGATTGTTCAAAACCAGAATTCTTCATCATCACATTCCTCCTACTCTCTTCTCCTGATACAAAGGCATATGCCTGAGAGAGAGTAACACTGTCCCTGGAAAGGATATGTTGCCTTACAATATCATATTCGTGATTAAGACTAGCAAGAAATTCAAAGACTCTATACTTCTCTAAGAGCTTCTGGTAGGCAGTTGCATCCTTAGTGGTTTCCCAAACAATTGTCTCCAGATGGTCAATCTCCTGCCACAGGGTTTTAAGGGCCGAAAAATAAACAACAATAGGTTTATCTCCCTGCCAGGTAGCAATAATCTGATTCCTCAACTGATAGGTCCTAGCAACATTTTCACTCTGTGAGTAGGTTTCTGCAACCCCATCCCATATTTCCTTAGTTGTATTTGCCCACAAAAAATTTTTATTTATATGGGGCAGCATCGAATTACACAGCCAAGTCATTACCATATAATTTTCTTGTACCCACCGGGAGCTGTTAGTCTTGGGTTTCACTTCCTCACCAGTGATATACCTCAACTTCCCATGAGCACCAATGGCCATCTTTGCAGATTGTGACCATTCTAAATAGTTTGTAACATCTAACTTAACTATAGTGATGGTCCTAGGCCTGAAAAGTTCTCCGACACCTCCCACTAGTTGCATTTCACTCCCAGGTTTGTTTTTAGCTCCTTGACCCTCCATAATTCTTAAAAAAAGGGTTAGAAGGTCACTTTAAGATGAAAGAATATGAAATAAATCCCTTCTGGTACCCCAGATGATCCTCCCACAAAAGATTCCCTTTCTGCGGGACGGGAGAAGAGAGAGAAGAGGCAGTCGCTCTCTCCAGAGACCTCCAAAAAAGATAGGACTTGAACCGCCCTCTTCAGAAAACTCTAAGGAACCCTAAAAAGTTAGGGCGCCACTTCCTAGGTCAAAATTGAAGAGTCCTACAAAGACAGGACTCTCCCCCTTTCTCTAGTTCTTCCTGAATTTAATGGGAAACCCTAGACCAGCTACAGGGCAAAACAGATCCACCAAAAAATCCAAAAACTGGGCTTACCTGAGATCTTCGACCAACCTCTCAAATCACCATGCATTCGGCCGATCTAGGGATGCATGATAGAGCAGCTCAAGAAGCCTTCAGCCTGCTCTGATACCAAGTAGAAGTTGCTGATAACTATTTCTGATGTATACTTTGTGAAGAAAAGTAGAGGACACTGAAAGGTTTCAGCAAGAGAGGAGAGAGAAGAAGAAAAGAGAGTGGGATGAAGCCAGAATTGAATAGGTCTGGCCGCCAACCCCTCTTTGAATTATATACTTAAAATAAAATAATGAAAGATTACAAGAATGCCCTTAGTAGGGTGGCTACTTTCCTAACTTAACAACTTAAAAATAAAAAATAAATGACTGGGCCCAATAACTTGAAATCGGCCCAACTCAACATTCACCAAAGTGCCACCTGAATTGTAATTTTTCAATAATGTCTTCCTTGCTTTTCCTTTCAAATACACCACAAAATTACTGCTTTAGTGCATTTCTACAGGTTCTTTCCTCTTTTCTTGGTTGGAGAGAAGAGTGAGGGACTAAAAAGGTTTCCTAGGGTGAATCCACCTTCTACCAAAAACAGAAAGAAAAATTTCCCAAATATTGGACATGAAAGGATAGAAGATTAACCAGTGAAATGTAATTTCACAATTTTCTCAACATAAAAGACACATTTTTGGTGAGAGATACCACTTGGGCCTACTCTTTTGGAGATTTTTAAGAATGTTACAGTGAGCTGTCCGAAATTTGGCATCACACTTGGAAACATTGTTCATTTCAGAGTCCTTTAGGCCTCTCATTAACCCAAGTCCCATACCAACTGTTTCTCAAGAAAGAAACACCTTGGGGACAAAGTGTCTTTGTGCAAGGAAATAGGGCAAAAAACAAGGAAATCCTTCCGTAAAGAAAAAATCTCTGCAACAATGATCTTCCTAGTATTTGGTTTTGACAGGGTAAATAAAAGTAAGCCTTTCCTTTTTTTCTTGATAAGTAAAAAGTAAAGTGAAATTAGTAGACTTTTACTTGAAGGACAAACCACTGCACCAAAGGTCTGAAGAATAGGCTGAAGAAAAGCCATAAAGGTCAAACCTTGATGGTGGGATGGTGAATTTCAATAATTCTTGAATTCAGCCCTAGGAGAGATTGAATCTCTCATGAGAAACAAGATTTCTCTATGGATCGATTTAGAATTAGCATGCCAAATTGATTTCCAATAGTTGGGTAGAATGTTACCTGATACAGAGTCCACAAGCTCCCTAGGTGGTTAACATGCCCAAAGATTTAGGTCCAGAAGATCACCAAAGCTGAAGATGACACAACCCAACATTGTGTTGTCTCTTTCACTCAAAATACTCTTGTTTTTCTATAAAAGCTGAGGTGAGAGAAGAAGAAAGGTGCTCCTTTTCCCTTGGGTCGAATTTGGGTTGCAATCGCAAGAAGACTTGTCTAGATTGGGGGGAGAAGCGGTGGTGAGGAAGGCAATCTAACAATTTGAACAAAATATAAGGCAGGAAAAGAACAAGAAAAGCGCAGTTGGGGAAGGGATGAGAATTGGGAGGAGGGTGAAGGAAAGGAGTCAGATTTAGTTGATGAAGAGTGAAGGAAGAATGTGGGTTTCGATGAAGGTGAGAGGGTGAGGCTTGGAGGTTCGTGGCTGCTCTATGTTGGTTCCCGGGCTCAGCTGGCTTGGTCCAGAGGTTTCTTTTTGTATTGGTCGCTGGTTTTTGCTGTTTTCTTTTGGGCTGGTTGGGGTGTTAGTTGTTTGGGGGCCTTTTGTTTGGGATTTGGTTGCATGTTATTTTTTAGCTCTTGTGGAGCTGTTTTCTCAACACCGTCCTAGGTTGTAATTGTTTTTTCTTTTTGATAAAATTTTCTTTCTACTTGTCAAAAAAAATTATGGACAATGTGCTCATATTTGTTTTTTTGATGTATGCAGAACTAAAAAATATTCCATGTTTCATATTAATAAATATTTAATCTTTATTTCTCTTTTCAAGTTTCCCAAGGTGGAGGTTCATAAAATTGAAATTTGTAATAATTTGGTAGAAGAGAGTCAAGCCATCCTCCCTCTCTCTTTCTCTCTCCCCATTATGTGTATTTATGACCAAATTATTTTGTTTTTTTTCCCATTAATGTCTCTTTTTCCCGAATTCTTCTACGGTACATTGGAAGCTCTTTTTCCCTCTTATCACATTGATACATATATCCATTTAACCAAATAGCTTAATCTCTTCTAATTGGAGATTGATTAATGCTTTTATATCCATGTACATGAGCATTCTAAAGCTATATTCGTGTTCCAAGAGTAATTATATTTCGTTAATTTTTCATTTGCAAACTATCCTTTTGAGTTTTTTTTTTTATATTTTGTTTCAGGTTGTTAATGACTTGCTGAATCCTGCAGGCCAGAACCTAAGAATAAGAGAGGACCTTCAGGTGCCAGTCTTTCACTTTATATTCCTTAGAATAGGTTTATTATTTTTCCAGAAAATATGTCTATCTTATTCATTGTTACTCAATTTTTAATTTCCAAATCTCTTCAATATGCATCAAGGTAACTGGGAAATTCTGTTAAAAACAAATTTTGTGCATTACTTTGAAGGTCATATGTGTAACAGGTATGAGGAACCATATGTGAAGATAGGTATTGTGTGTAAGTTAAATGTCCATAACTAAGCTAACCCCTGAAGTTTCTGATATTCAAGAAAAAATCTTGAGTAGGAAAGTTGAGTGCACAGGGTTTGAGTGTTTATGAATTATGACTAAGAATGAAGGGTGGATTCAATTAGGAAGTATGTATTCATCCAAAACATTAGTGATAGTAACAACCTTGGCTAAAAGATTTTACTTGATATCAGTGTTTTAAAAAATAGCCTAGAAATAGAACCATTTTTTCCTTTGGGTAGCGGGCCACCAGTTCAACCCCATGATATCATAAATCAAATAATAAAACATCAAAATAGATAAGAAGCAGAAAAAAAAAAAGAAAATAATAGAAAAATTTCTGAAAAAATTGGGCCCGTCTCTAATGTTATATATTCATCATGTTAATAAAAAATAAGTGTGATAAATGAGAACTTTTGTTATTAGTGATGGAAATGACTAGATACAAAAAAAAGAGAGAATTATTGTCTAACCCATTACCCACTGACTGGGTCAAATGGTTCAGCGGTTCAATCAGCTAGGTCACTGGTACATTGACTGAATCAACATTTTTTGCAAGTAAACTGTTTGGGGCCAAATGGACCCAAAAACCTGACCAAATGACAGGTTGATCGGTCCAACCATCCAATTCAATTGCGGATTGAAAATGTTGCTTAATGTAATGCATTCATGGTCATTTTTTAAAACACTAGATGTTTTTGCACCTTTCTCTGCTTATGACATTGTTAGAGGCTGGAAATTGGTGGAAAATCCTTCTACATATGGATCTACTCTTTCAGTGGAGTGGAGCCTACCTAACACACCAAATAAAGCTAAATTTTGATGGCTGTAGCATAGGTAATCCTTTTTCTTTTCTGGCATAGGAGTACTCAGGAATAGTCATGGAGTCATAACAGTCATGTCTCTTGACCAATAGGAGCTGGGGGCTTGAAAAGGGTGAGTTGATATGGATGCCTTACAAGGCCTAAGACTAAGTAGAGAACTTAGTTTTAGAAATATAGAGGTGGATGAGGACTCCCAAGATAGTTATGGGTTGGCTAAATAATGCTAGCCAAGTTTTATTCCAGTATAGATGTTTTTTCTATTGGTAACTTTCAAAGAATTTTTTTAGTAAAAGGAATGAATATTTACAATATGGTTGTGCCCATGGATTAAAATATTGATACGATACGCCTGGTATCGGGTGTATCGTATCACTCTCAGGCTGCACCAATATGGGATACGCTACGACTGCAGGTGTATCCTGCCAATCGTGCATATCAGTTTGATACACCACTGTATTGACGCGCATCGCATAGTATCGGCCGATATGCGTCGATACAGAAGCGTCTCGACCATGGTTTCGACTAATGATGCAGCATCTCACAATAAAAAAATGAGAGTAGCGTGACTCGAACCCACGTTGGTCAATGCGTGCGCATTTAACCACAAAGCCATTTGTTATTTCGTGTTAGTAAGGGTAATAAAATAACTTTTATTAAACTTAATGTTTACATGCAAACAAAAAACAACCTACATTTATTTTCAAAAACTTCAACTATAAATTAAAAGGAACAATATTCAAAATTAGTATTTTATAAATAAATGGAATAAATAATTTATAAAATCCACATATATATATCAAAAATGAATTTTAACTTTAAAAGTTTATACAAATAAAATATTTATAATAGAATAATTATTTTAATACTTAAATTTTTATAAATTTCCATAGGGTATATATCTTAAATTTTTATAAATTATTAATTAATATTTTAATTTACATTAAATAACAATGTATTTTTTATTTACAAAAATAAAATTATCGTTTACAAAGTATTTGAAAATATAATATAAATTGAATCTATTAAATTCATTAATCTACGTTTTATATAAAAACAATTTTTAACTTCAAAATTTCATAAAAATAAAACATTAATAATGAAATAATTATTTTAGTAATTAAAATTTATGTATTTCCATATGATATGCATTTTCAAAATTTTAATAGATTTGATATATATTTTAAGTTAAGATTATAAATTTTTATAAATTAATAATTGATATTTTCATTTACATTTTATAATAACATATTTATTGTTTACAAAAATATAAATATTATTTATCAAACATTTAAGAATTAAACTTTTAGTTGAATTTTTTGTTAATGTTAAAAAATAAAAGTAGAAAAATAGAAAAAAATATATAACAACTCATATATTATAGTTGCATATGCTTTATGCCTTACACTGTAATAGATAATAAAATAGTATTGGCTTTTAGCATATATTAATTTTTTAAAAATCTATATAATATTTGCCTTGGACTCTTGATTGATGCATTACTAATAAAATTGTATAATATCTACATGTCTTGCTATATTAATTATAATATATTTCTTCATATGTATATGTATATATATATCATTTAAATAAACAATTCCTATGTATTTATATATTATTTATAATTGTTTTGACATTAAACATATTATGATTCGGCCTGCCCTTGAGTTCTATTAGTTTGATAACAGCCAAAAAGAGAGAAGAAAGAAGAAAGAAAGAGAGAGAAAAGAGGAGAAAAGGAGAGAAGAAAAGTCTAGTTCGAATGAGAGAAAAAATTACCTCTCCCATTCGGCCAGACATGTTTTATATTACTAACATAATGGAAAAGACACATGTGCCCTTAAGTGAGGGACACTAGTTCTAATATAATATTACAGATCAGCAACCTCAACATAAATATAAAGACAAAAATACCCCTACACTAACACTCCCCCTCAAGCTGGTGAGTATATATCATATAATCCCAACTTGTTACATATGTAATCCACTCTTCCCCGACTCAACCCTTTTGTAAATAAGTCTACCCACTGGTTCCCTGTGTTAACATATGCAGTGTCTATCACTCCATTCAGCACCTTCTCTCTCACAAAGTAATAGTCAACCTCTATGTGCTTGGTTCTTTCATGAAACACCGGATTAGAAGAAATATGAACTGCAGCAATAGAGCTTCATTGGAGTGTTAACATCATATCCTATCTCCTGTAGAAGGTTCCTTAGCCACACTAATTCACAAGTAGTATGTGCCATAGCTTTATATTATGCCTCTGCATTGCTTCTCGCCATGACTATTTGCTTCTTACTTTTCCATGTCACCAGATTACCCCCAAGTAAAGTGCAATAGCCTGTGGTAGACCTCCTATCAGACATAGAACCGGTCCAGTCAGCATCAGTATATCCTTTTATTTCAAGTTTTCCACCACCTTGGTATATCAAACCACGACTAGGAGCCCCTTTTAAATACCTCACAATTCTTAAAACCGCATCCCAATGAGGAACCAAAGGTTTTTGCATGAACTGACTTACCACACTAACCACAAATGAAATATCTGGCCGAGTAATGGTTGGGTAGTTCAGTTTACCTACAAGTCACGGGTATCTGCCAGGGTCTTCAAATACTTCACCCATATCACTGCTCAGCTTAGTATTTGTTTCCATAGGTGTTTTAGTTGGTTTAGCACCTAACAAACCTGTTTCCTCTAGCAAATCAAGCACATATTTCCTCTGACACATTAATACCATGCTTAGACCTTGCTACTTCTATCCCCAAGAAATATTTCAATTTACCAAGGTCCTTTGTTTGAAAATGTTCCTGTAGAAAAGTCTTCAACCTATCAATGCCCATTTTATCATTCCCGATAATAACAATATCATCTACATACACCACCAATAGGATTTTCCTACCTGAGAGTAGACATGTTCATGGGCTGGGTAGCCCGATGGCCCGGCCCACACCCCGGTCGGGCTTGGTCATGTAATTAGGCCCGCAGGCCTGACCTCAGGCCTAACACAGTAAGCTCGACTGTGTTTCGGGCCGGGCTCGGGATTTGTCAAAAGAGCCCGGCCCGGCCCGACTCAGCATTATATATTTTATAAAATATATAATATGTATTTTATATATTATATAAAATATATAAATAATATAATATTTATTAAAATATATATTTATAATTTAATATATACATTTTTTATTCTTTTCTTTATAATCTCTCTCTCTATTCATCCGYTAACAGTATGGGCTAAACTTTGGGCTCGGGTCCAGGCTCGGGCTTCGGGCTTTTTATGAGGGCCGGGCTCGGGCCCAAGTTGTAGGCCCGATGGTCGGGCTGGGCTCGGGCTCGGGCCTTAGAAAATTCTGTTAATACAGACTGAAAGCCCAGCCCGGGCCGACCCATGAACAAGTCTACCTGAGAGTCATGACTGAAGACAAAACGATCAACTTGACACTGTTTCATACCAAACTTCTTTACCACCTCACTGAACCTACCAAACCATGCTCGAGGAGACTGTTTAAGCCCATAAATAGCCTTCTTTAGTCTACATACCTTACCATCCTCCCCCTGAGCAACAAACCCTGG